AACTTTTAAATAGTTAATTTGATACTAATATCGCTTATTTTTATCAAAATTTTATGATATCTTCAAATTTACATTTCGTTCAAAAAAAATTATTTTTCTCAAAACCATATAAAATCGTATTATAACATTGATAGACTCAAAATATAAAACAAAACATTAAAATCAAAATGTATCTCGTTGCATTGCACGAGTATTCTTCTAGTATATATATAACATCTGAAAAAAACTCTTAAAAACCATTTTTTTATGCATGAAGTACTGTTTATTGATGCGTATTACTTAAAATTCAAAATTACAAGTAAATTGTGCATAAGTACAACTTATTAACACTCTATATTTGAATTCGTGTATCTAACTGTGGATAAAGATAATTAAATAGAGGATAAACATCTCATTTTAAAATATAAAAAATAAAAATATAATTAAGATAATTATTGAGTTCTAACAGAATACTTAATTATTATCTTTATAAAAAACATACTAGTTGGATACCCGTGCAATGCGGCGGGATGTGAATGTTTTTTTGTAAATCGAAGGTATGACGTTTATGATCATTATAAACTTCAAATTTTATTACGGTTGATTGAATGAAGATTTGAAAAGAGAATTGCACGATTAACAGATTTCCAAACACACATCAATTGTTATTTTTAGAATGTTTAATAATGATTTTCACTTAATGCAACTCATGATCAACAAAAAAAAAATCATGTTTAAACAAAACAGAGATATAATCATCTTAAATAATATAAATCGACACATACAGAGTGTGAGAAGATACCATTTGAAGCATCCATATGTTAAATATACCCTGTAAGAAATGTCTTATGATTATAATATARTATAGATATCAAGCGTAGTTGTAAAAAATGTGTAATAGTAATACTCGTTTGTACCTTATTAATCACGTAAAACTTCTTGATACACCACGTTTGATGTGTAGACTCCGTCACGATTGAATTKTTTGGCAGGCTTTACTAATACCTTTGTATTTTCACGTGATGTCCCTCTTGATAACGCCACATAAAGTTGTCCGTGAGAGAATACTGATTCCGGTAGATACACACCTACATTAGGAATGGTCTGTCCTTGAGCTTTATTGATTGTCATAGAAAAGCTAAGYCGGACTGGAAACTGTTTTCTCTTCAATTTGAAGGGGAACATGTTATCTTCAGATGGACAAAGAGGAATTCTCGGCAAAAATACTCTCTTTCCAGCATGCTGACCAACAGCTATTTCTGCATCGATTACGTTCTGTTGAAAACCTCTACATATCAATCTCGTTCCATTACATAAGCCATTAGAGGGATCGATATTCCGCAATAGTATGATTGGGCATCCAATTTTGAGCCGAAGGTAATGCGGGGGCAAACCACTGACAGTCAGCGAGTTTAAGAACTCCATTGGGTAGAAGTTATTTCTGTCATCTTCTGCTTCATCAAAACTGTAGCAAACTTTTTCATCGCCGCATAATCTATCAATCAAATGATCATTAATTTCATCGACATTTTCATTTTTTGTTGATAATATCGCCCTCAAAATAATATAGTTTGAATCTGCTCCGTTGATTTGCAGAGATGGAAATATTGCGTCAATCAAATCATGCTTTGATTTATCTTTATCAGTATA